CCGCCCCAGCTCCCTACAAATATCTGTGTCTGGAGTAAAAGCCAGCATCAGATTCCTACCCCTTGCAAGCCGCACCCACACTCATAGGTGAGTGGCCAGGACAGTGCACATGCATCCTGGCCTGCCCTTGCTCCCCGAGCCAGCATCAAGTTCTCCAAGAGCCCCATTCCCTGGACTTCAGTGACATCAGACATTAGAGGGAATACAACACCCCATCCGTCTAGAACCCAGCTCCGGTGGTGCCACTGGTTCTTAGGGACCAGCTTCACTCCCGTCCAAATCTCAGCTCGAAGACAAGTCTCTTAAGGGGGCAAAGAGCACGGCCTCCAAGAGCTCCAAGGGTAGCTCTTTTAATCCTAACCAGAAATTACAGCCAAGGTTGTATGTGGGTGTGGGTTCGGGTGCTAGTGTGTTTTCGGCTGGGGATGGGGTGGGACAGAGGAAAGGAGCCCCTCGCTGCAAAGCAGCCCATCTTTGGTCCCTGTGGGCTCTCTGCACCACACAGGCATATCCCCGCACTCCAGGGGCTGCCTGTGCCCTAGCTGCCATGTGGCAAGCACACAAGATTTGTTCTGTTCTGCCACCATCCACTTCGAGGAGCTAGGTCCCCATAGCTGCCCTTAAGCGTGCCATCAACCCCACAGTGCACCCTGCCCAAAGCAGACAGTAGTAATATTATAGTGAAGGTGGATGGCCAACAGAGGAAAATCGAAGAAAGTTACAAGACACGTGATCAATCCCTCTCTGCCCTCCCCAGCTCCCCCTCCCTCCCTCCCAAATAAATAAGTTAATGGGTTTAGGAATGTTCCCATACGAAGTTCTTTCCAACTAGCTCAATTCCTCCTCTGGTTTTGTTTCATTTAAATGAATCTTGAGATTCTCTTTCTACCCAGGAGCAGCTGCATAGACAGTCTCCCTACAGTAGCTCCTCCAAAATAAAAAATGAATTTGTGCCAGGGAGAAGCCAGGCTCCCGGCATGATGTCGACTCTCGTTTTGTTTTGGTGAGAACTCCGCTGTGATCCTCCGACCGCAGCAGGAGCGATACCAAATCGAGACCTCCCGCCAAAAGAGTTCAGGTTCTGGCGAAAGTCCCCGAATGATTTCTGCCCACCGGCCTTGCCCCGATGGAGCTGGAGCCACTGGAGCCACCGTCTTCCCCAGGAGAGTGCGTGCGGGGACAAGCCGGTGGCTGCTAGAGACAGTCTTTACAGAGAGCCACCTGGCCCTTGATGAAGTCCCGGCAGGGGCAGATCCTCACGTGTCTGGGGTGGGCGCCAGCACAGCTGAACAGCAGGAGGTCACCTTGAAACACACAGTGCTTGTTCTTGGGGTCGAAGGAGGGCACCACGATGTCCTTGGCCATCTCTGAGCTTTGGCAGGTCACCTCGTACCTTGCGGGGGGAGAGAAAGGGGTTAGGGATGCAGGGGTCGTCCTCACCCCTGCCTCCTCCTGTCCACCGTCCCGAGGCGTGGGGAGCTCGTTCGGGGCTCCTGCAGTAGAAATGAAACGTCAGCCAGCCTCTGACCCAGCCATTCTCTCACCTCTGGAAATCCAGGCTCGAGAAAGGCATGTGTGTGCCTGGACACGTGTGTGGGGCTATGTGTTCAGGGCTGCTTAGCGAAGCACTGTCCGTAATGGAGAAAAACTGGAAATAACCTGAACACTCAGCAAGTGGGAAACGGCTGAATCAACTCTGGCTCATCTGTACCATCAGTTACATGCAGCCCCTTGACAAAGGAGAGGTGGAAATGCGAGCATTAGCATGAGAGCTGTCCTCGAGTGAGGCAGGTAACAACAGGATGTACAGTGTACTGACGGTGTGTGTGTGAGTGAGAGAGAGACGGCGGGGGGTGTGGATGGAGTGTTTGGGAGGCTGGAAGAGGGGAACTCGAGCGAGGCCGTGAGGATGGTGGACCGGGGGACACACACACACACACACACACACACACACACACACACACAGAGGAGAGAGGGGGGCAGAGAGAGAGAGAGGGAGAGAAGTCATGAAAGACTCTACACACTAAAGACTTAACAACGTTCACTTCCGAGGAGTGAGACTGGGGGAAAGATATGCATTATTTACATGTTTTTAAAAAACTATACTTAATTTTCTCAATTAATGGCTTAAAGATACCCCTGTTATGTGGCCTTAGTCCCCACTGGACAGCAGTCAGACGGTCTCCTGGGGAAGATGCCGTCCAGGACCCGAGTCACTGGACCCTGGACGACGGTGGCAATAGTAACACCCCCACCCCAGCCCTGTCTCCAGCTTGATGTTTCTGGGTGCGCAGAGCAGGGGCCGAATCACCCCAGGCCCGTGTGCTTGCCCCTGTGCCGTAGTCTCCCAACAGGTGAATTTTAAGTTCTCCTCTAACCTGGGGTACCTGGGTCCTACCCACCTTGTCCCCTGGTCCCCACATGGTTGGTGGGGACCAGTTCAGAGAAGGTGGTATAGGAGGGCCAGACAGATCTGGGTTTGAGTCCTGGCTTCATCTCTTATGAGCTGTGTGGCCCTGGACCAACGACTGAGCCTCTCTGTGGCTGTCTCCTCTTCTGTGAAACGGGGATAGAGAATCCGTACCTCACAGGGAAGGTCCAGGGATTAAATTAATGCTTATCGAGCAGCTGGCAGAGTCTAGACGCTGGCTGGGCTATGCCACCTTCCTCCTTTGCCCAACAGTGAGAATTTACACACATGCCAACCATCTCTATTTTGCTTTGTTCACGGAAGTCTTGATTCTTGCCAGTAGGGAGGGGATCTGGATGTGGAACCTGAGGTTTCCTGCTGCTTCTGGAAAGCCTCCAAGTGTCGGGGGAAGAGCATGTGGCGCCCCCATTACTCCTGCACCCTCTTTTTTCTTCCTCCTGCCAACTAACTGCCGGGGCCCACCTGCCCTCCTGCCAGTGTTAATCTGGTGGTTCCCAGTGCATCTGCTGGGGCTTTTGGTGAGCTCTCCGAGGCTGCCTGCCTGGCTCCTGGTGCCCAGGAGGGCAGCACCGGCCCATCTTGCTGCTGCAGTCACCAGGGAGCTCTGCGACTTCTCTGAGTGGCCCGATACGCCTTGATGTTAGGTAAGCCAGCTGGGAGACGGAGGCACCTAGAGGGCATGGCGAGGGCGGGGCGTGGAGGTCTTAAGGAAACCTGAGCCGGAGACAGGGGCTACCAGCTCCCTCACAGGACACTCCTCCTGGCCAACACAAAAAGGGGTCTCCAGAGCTCCACTGTGCGTGAAAAGTTGCCATATGGAACGTGGCGTTGGGATCCAGATTTATGCTCATGCTATTTATTTATTTAGGCGAATTACAGCAGCTGCTGTGTCTTAACTCAAGCCATCTGCCTGGTACACTGCTCGTCAGGAGCATGGAAATCTCCACAACTCATCTGAGACCCTGAGGCAAGGGGGAGAATTGCCAGGAGCCAGGAAGAAACCCTCCTCCCGCCCCTGGTCTCCTGGACTCAGACTCCAGGCCCGGTCTCCTGGGGTGCGAGCACGTGCGCCCATGACCACGAGGCTGCAACAGCAGCAGCCAGCTCAGGGCCGATGCCCAGAGATGACCACGAAGCACTCAAGCAGCAGGTGGTCCCCGGAACCACAGGGGACCAGTCCCCAGGAAGCTCCCCAGAGCTTTAGCTGAGGGGTGCCGGAGCCACCCATGGGTGTGACCCAACACCCTACCCCGGGGAGCTCTCCCTTCTGTTAGCTGCAGGTCTCCATCCCACAAGCCCCAGGCGGTCGGGAAGGCCCCTCCAGCATCCTTGCTGAGCTAGTGAGCCACAGTCCTCAGCTGTTGCCGAGGAGACCTTCCCAATGGCTGGAGCACATCCTCATGCTCTGCCGTGGTCCCTCGCCTCTTCAGGGCGTGCGTGTGGCTGTTTCTGCCTCTCTGTTCCTGGGATGTCTGTGTCGCACACATGCGTGTGCGCGTGCGCGTGCGCGCGCGCGCGCACACACACACACACACACACACACACACACACACTACCCTCTCAGACCTGTGGCACGCTGTGCTGTTTCCTTTCTGTGGGCCCCTGTGGTCCTCACCTCTCTCCAGCTGCCCTCGGTGGCTTCTCTCACAGGATGGGAGCTGGGGCTTCCGAGGCCCCTCAGCCCTTAGTGTAGAGTTTATAGCTCTTGAAGAGAAGGGCAAGGCCCCCCTTCCCGTGGGGCTGCCTATTTCCTGAGAGGAGAGAAGCCGCCCACCCTTCCCCCGACGCAGACCCACTCAGGATGGAGGGATGGAAGCAGGACCCACCGGCCAGTCTGACTCCTTCCCCCGCCCTATCCTCCTTAGCCCCGCCCCATATCCACCAAGTCTCCCCAAGCTCCCTCGTCACCACTCTGACTCAGGGCCACCTCCCTGCTCCGAAGGTGCCCACGAGCTCACAGTCCAGGCTTCATGGCTTAGAATTCCTGTTCTTCAAACCAACCAACCCACACTCAATAAATGAATCTTTTAGAAGGTACAACTTGTAAAGGTCGCAACATCACGAAGGAAGCCTGCCGCTAACGCACGTTCCCATTTCGGAAGCCGAGGTGCGCCCGCCCTGGGTCCCACCAGCCCGGACTCTGGCTCTTCCGGGGGCCTCTGTCCTCCGGCCACTCAGGCCCCGGTCCGGGTCAGGTTGGGTGCCACCCGAATCACGCATGCTCTGTGCACAGGAGTTTGTGGTCGCCTCTCCATCACTCCCACCACGCCCTGCCTGACTCCCCGATTCAAGACGACAGCACGGGACGCTCCAAAGGGCTCTACTTAAGTCACATCAGGTCACACTGCAGAGCGAGGACAGGCCGGGGACACCCAAAGACGAGAGGAGTTTAAACTCAGAGCCCGGCCCCAAGCTGGAAAAGAACGAGCAGCGGCTCGCTGCTAACCGTCCACGAACACGAATAAGCCAGGACTGCCTCACTCAAGAGGGTTTCAACAGGCGCGCCAGAGAGCCGGGCTTTCACGACGTTATCGGTATTTACAAGTGCAGAGGCAAGGTATTCACCAGGGCGCTCGCGCACAGAAATTAACTTCAGGCGGCTCTACTGCAAACTCAGCATTCGTGGCAGCCTCCTAGGAAGAAAACCCACGTATCTACAAGGGGATGGGGTCGGAGGGGCGTTTAGTAACCCCACGGCTGCCCCGCAACAAGGCCTTCTACTCCTTGGGCTCAGCTTGGAAGACGGCGCGTGGGGTGGGGGGCAGGGAGGTGGCAGGGCACTGGCTTTTCTGGTCTCGGCCTGGTGGCCTCGGGCCTGCCCCGCTGCCCAAGCTCTCTGCAAGACAGGGCTTTTCTGCTCTGCCTGCAGCACCAGCTGCATCTTCTCTCATCATTACCCGGCTGTCCCCATCTCACAGGTGAGGACACTGATGGGGACAGAGGAAACTGGTCCCTTGGTTCCCTGTCCTGTGCCTCCGCGGGACCTAGCCCTTGGGCCTGCAGACGGGCGGGCTGTGGTGGGCCCCGTGCTCTCTGAGAGTGAGCCCCGGGAGCCCCGCCTCCGGCCTGGCCAGGAAGGCCGCTGCTGCTGAGGGTCCCATCCGGGTTCCCTCCTCCAGCGCTGGGGCAGGGGCTGCACGTAGACAGTTCTGTGTAGATGCTCTGTAGTCTGCCCTCAGTGCATCCAGACTTCCAATCAAACAGAGGGAGATACTCGGGGTTCTCAGAAAGCCACTTTGCTACGGGAGCCGTCTGCAAAAGGGGCGAGTGGCAAGCTCCTCCCGGACCTAGAATTTGGGATACGTGCTCTGGAGATGGAAGCTTCTGGCACCATCAGGGGCTTTCCATAGACGTCAGACCAGCGTCCCCTCTCACAAGGCTTCACTGGCTGCAGAGCAGGCTGCCAACCGACTCTGCTGGCCTGGCCTTTATTCTGATGGTGGAATCAAGGCCACCTCTGACCCAGGTCTTCATATAAAAGGAACGAGAAAAAATAGCATCGCCCACATCCCCACTCAGGAGACCATCCCTGTAGGCGCGACGCTAGAGACCACGCTCTTTCTCTAAAAAGGGTTTCATACCACACTTGAAGGTAGTAAGACTTACAGGCAGGATCAGGCCAGCTCAGACCACTGGGCACGGATGAGCACAGTGGCCAACCGTGCTCTAAAAGGGTATGAAGCCAGAACAGGGACCAGCAAGCCTCGAGCCCTGAGTCCACTCTGTGCCTTATTATTATTATTATTATTATTATTATTTTGGGAGGGCAGTGCGTACGGCGTGCAGGATCTTAGTTCCCTGACCAGGGATCGAATCCGTGCCCCCTGCAGTGGAAGCGTGGAGTTCTAACCGTTGGGCTTCCAGGGAAGTCCCCACTCTGTTCCTTAAACATCCTCTTCAAGACTGGGGCACATATACACAATGGAATATTACTCAGCCATAAAAAGACACGAAATTGAGCTATTTGTAATGAGGTGGATGGACCTAGAGTCTGTCCTACAGAGTGAAGTAAGTCAGAAAGAGAAAGACAAATACCGTATGCTAACGCATATATATGGAATTTAAGAAAAAAAAATGTCATGAAGAACCTAGGGGTAAGACAGGAATAAAGACACAGACCTACTGGAGAACGGACTTGAGGATATGGGGAGGGGGAAGGGTAAGCTGTGACAAAGCGAGAGAGTGGCATGGACAGATATACCCTGCCAAATGTAAGGTAGATAGCTAGTGGGAAGCAGCCGCATAGCACAGGGAGATCAGCTCGGTGCTTTGTGACCACCTAGAGGGGTGGGATAGGGAGGGTGGGAGGGAGGGAGACGCAAGAGGGAAGAGATATGGGAACATATGTATATGTATAACTGATTCACTCTGTTATAAAGCAGAAACTAACACACAATTGTAAGGCAATTATACTCCAATAAAGATGTAAAAAAAAAAAGACTGGGGCAGGACCACAGCTGTGCGGAATAACCAGGGTTGGGATAGCAAATCCCTCAGGGGAAAACACTGCATTAAGAGTTCTTAAGGTTGGGAGGGGGTGACAAGTAATTAAGCAGGTTGTGGCCCAGGGAGGGTGTGATAAATATGGAGGCACAGATTCAGCACTGACAGGGGGCATGAGTCAGAGGCCAGAAGAAACTTCACATGGAAACCTGGAAAGTGCAAACACCAAACTCAAAATGCCACTGCAAAGGGAAATGAATGGTGTGACTGCAAGTAAGCAGCATGAGAAAAGAAATCCCAGCAATAGAGAAGGGCCCCCCTGGCTCACTCTGGCCTGTGATCCCACTGCAGCACCTGCACCCCTGCTCAGGGACCCGGCAAAGCCAGAACTGCTCACGCCCTCAAAGGGGCTGGAATAAAGCGCAAAAGGAGATGGGGCTGCAGGAGGGGAAGGTGGCAGGGAAATTTGCTGTAGGCAGTTCTGTGCAAGCTCCCTGCCCGTATTTTTCATTCCTTCCAGACTCCCTGACTCTGGGGACCTGGCTACGGCCAGGGGACCTCAGGGGCGGGTCCGTCCGTGCTTGTGGTTCTGTGCCCATCTCGGCTCCCATGGTTCTTGGGTACCAATTAGCAAACCGAACACCTCCCGCCATCTCCAAGCCCCGACTTCCCGTTATTTATGCAAACAAAACACGTCTATTCGAATTCTAAATATATCAGCAGGCCAGGTGACCTCATCTACTTAACAATAAAAGTGCTGGGCCAACTTTCTCTGGGTGGAGGGGGGCGGTGGGATCATGCTGTAACCTTTTCCACATCTTATTCCAACAGCCCACGAGCCTAGAAAGGAACACCTCATACCTCCCAACCCAGCTCTGACCCAGAGGCGAGCTGCAGGCTGAGCTGCCTCTCCTGTGCTCCAGCACTTACTTCAGCAAGTCCTTGTCCTTGTTGAGATGCTGGAAGAAGGAAGGCTCACAGATGAGCTGTTTCTCCTGACACACCTGCTTGCAGGACTGCCCGGGCTCAGCAAGCTTTACCTGCAGGGCACTCAGGGGCGGCCACATCACTTGCCCATGGCAGAAGTCCTAGAATGACAATGAAACCATCAGCCAAGGGACCAGGGATGCAAGTGGGGGTTCCCAGTCTGCCAACTAGTCCCAACAAGGGGGGGCGGGCACCTGGTCATGGGAGAGCAGTGAGGGGCAGGAGGCAAGACCAGACACACTTGGGTTGGAACCCGGCTCAGCTACAACACGGTCTTGGCCTTGCCTTTCTGTGCACAGCACTGCGCCTGCCAGTAACGGGGGCTATTCATTCGTATCGCCACCTACAATGATGCAATCGAGCTAAAGCCTCCACGCTTGAAAGCCCATCTCCAGATCCACCTTCACCAGCTGTTCTATTCCCTCCGCCCTAATTCCAAAGACATTTTCAGTGTCTACCTAATTTGGCGGTTACCTAACATGACATTGTTTTGAGTGCTGGTTTCAACTTTGGGAAGCAAAGGAGCACAGCAAGGAGTCTGCAGGCATCTGGGAGAGAGCCTATTGCGGGGCCGTGGTCTTGATAGAGGCTCAGTGCTTGTTGGTTGAAAACAATTCTAACACACAAATTCAACGGCTAGAGAAACAGTCTGAGGATGTGTGATAGGAGGTCAAGTAAACTGGTATCCCCGGCAGGGAGGGGCGCCCCGAGGCATGGAAGGTGGTGGCATGCTCAGGATGGGGCTGGGTGGTCATTCCTAGGATCTAGAGGGTGTGCAGGAAATTAACACATCTAAGGAAGTCACAGGCGGGGAAGACCAGGTAGTAACCTGTACAGCATGGTGAACGGGCAGCCTAGTTATGAAGCTGAGTGTTGAGAAAGACGCAGTGGGACCAGGGAAAGGGCAGGTGTGGAGTGGGAACTCTCTCTGCCCTGGGACCGCAGCTTTCATCTCAGCTGTGCCTGGAGCGACTCTGAACAGGTACTGAGGGTGGAAACTCATGCACCACTGACAACCAATGCTTGCTCTGCTTACACCATGTTGATGGAACCCTAGTAAAATTCTTCTGAATCCCCGGGCCACCCAACCTGCAGAAGATGATTTCAGGACAGGAGCCCTGAAGAACCATGTTTGTGTAACTTTTTGCGGGTCGGGCTAGCCCTCAGGGGTACCCAGTGGTTAGGGTTAGGATCCTGGGCTCTGAATTCCACTTGTAGGAATTCACCCCAGATGTATGGGACACAACTGGGCAAAGAAACCTACACAGGACACAGGAATCCCAGCAGTATTGTTAGAAGAGAAGCAGAAGACGTGAAACAACCTAAAAGCTGTATTTAAACAGGTAACTGTTTAGGTACAAAGAATACCAAAAAATGCAACAGGTTCCAATGTGCTGACATGGAAACATCCCCAGGACACACTGAGAAAGAAAAGAAACAGGTTGAAGGCTGGTGTACAGTGTGTTTCCGTTTGCGTTGATATGTATAAACAATCACGCCTGTGCTCCTGCAAGAATATCTCTGGTACCACTGAGGAGGGGAAACGGGTAACAGGGTCAGGAATGGTCAGGGAATTTACTTTTCAATGTATGTCCTTCTGGAATATTCTCTTTTTCCTCCTGCCTACTTTCTCTCCTCTGCATGCATGAGGAGCTGATTAATCATATCAGGCGCTCAGAACCGGTGCTGGCGGGGGAAGGTTCCAGGTCCCCCGCCGGTCACGTGGAGAACTGCAGGAGGGCCGGGCCCTGCTGGGTCCCTGAGCAGTGAGGTGGGTGCAGCCCCAGGGGGCCCTTTTGGGCTGCTTGCATTTTTCTCTTTTAAACCTCAGCTTCCTCCTCAGAAAAATTAAGACAATGATACTGATGATTTCCTATGGTTTCTGTCTCTCTCCACCTCCTTCCTGAAGGAGGTGACGCCGTTACACCGTTAAGGAAGGTAAACGGCAGGTAGGCTTCTACTCCAGTCTCCTCAAATCGGTGCTTGAGATCCCACCAGAAAGGAGAACCCGCCGTCGTTCCCCACCTCACTCGATCCTGCGATGCAGGGATGCACGTGCTTGAGCCTGAGTGGTTAGGCTCAAAGGTTAACAAACAAATCCTTCACTGCACGTAGTCAGGAAACCTAGAGCCTGGATTCGTATCAGCTGAAAACAAAAGATTCCAGAAGGGTCTCATAATTCAGAGATGATAGAAACGCACTGGATTATTTACAGATAATAGGATCCAGTTTAATCTTTTGAAAGTGACAGAGTAAGCAGTCTTTCCTATCTCACAGCCCTGGGTATGACCAAGGCAGGCCACTCCCTGGGCAGGAAGACGTCTTCTGACTCCTGAGATCCATGATGATCCTGAGCATAATACATGGACGTGCTAAGGCACTGGGCAGCAAAATAACTTTGGTCTAGACACCGTTACTAAGGGTGACAGCGTGACTGCAGACCCATGGCACCCTGAGTGGGAACCCTGAGTGTTCACTGGCGGCCATTGCTCTCTAACCTGGCAGCATATGGAAACTTACTGGCTGGCCTTTGGTACTCTGTCCATCAAATTGGTAGGAAAACACACAATGATCAACGTAGTTATTGCTGATCAAAGCTGAGCGGGTGCACAGATGTTTGGAAAAGGTTAAGTGTTGTTTTTCTTGTTTGTTTGTTTGTGTTAGTTTTTCTGGCTGGCTACTGCGAGCAACTTTGCCTATAATCCTTTAGGAGAAATCTGAAAGCCTTTACAGGCTTTAAGTATTATACCAAAGAGAGTCATGATCCAATGGACACCAAAGCCTACTGTGCGACTCTATGGGGGAAATCTAGATCACTGGACACCCATGAGGGCTGAAGGCTCAAACTCTGGCTTCTATAGCCTGGTAAGAACACTGTAGAATGTCTCTCCTTACATGACATCTACAGGCAGTTAGAACCGAGGGTAGCATCTCTACACCTGTTGAGTTTGGCAGACTCACGAAACCTTGCTCCTTATTTATTGTGAGCCTTGTGTGGTTATGCAAAGTAGTCCAAGGGGTAAAACCAGAACGAGGAGAAAGATTCTGCCGTGTTAGAATAGGAGGCGACGCGGCCAAGGAATGCACTTCAAGTCTGAGACCCAGATTTGAGGCTTGGCCTCACCAGGGGCGGGGCTTTGGGTATGCTGCCTGGTCCGGTTCCTTGTCTGTAGAGAGTGATGCTAACAGACTGTGGGTGATGGAGCTGAGCTGGCAAACAGCAGGAGCTCCCCTAACGCTCATCACCCTCCTCTTGTCCCTCTGCAGAGGTGCTGCCTGCGCCCCGTATCGGCGTTTGGAGGCCCTACAGCACTGGCGTCTGTAGAAGCAGGGGCAGCCCTGGAGAGATGGAGCGCTGCACCTCACCCTGAGCCAAGGCAGGATGGCTCTGCGAGGTCTGCAGGAGGGCAAGTGCCTCAAGGCTACGCTGCAGGGCAGATCTGCCCCACCTGCTCATTTCAATAAACTGTTGCAGGCGACCTCTCTGAGGTTCCCTTCATCAGGTGAGCTTAGCTCAATTACATGTGAACTCTTAGGCCCCAGTCACTCTCGCTCGTGGCTCACCGGGGGCCGGTCTGGCATCCTTTCAGTACTGTTTTGGGGCCAGTAGGATCAGAAGTAGTGAAAATATGTCGGTGAGAATGTATACTGGGTGCAGCCACTATGAAAAACAGTATGGAGGTTACTCAAAAAACTAGAGTTGCCATACGATCCAGCAATCCCATTCCTGGGTATATTATCTGGAGAAAACACTAATTCAAAAATATATATGCACCCCAATGTTCACAGCAGCACTACTGACAATAGCCAAGACATGGAAGCAACCTAAGTGTCCATAGACAGATGAATGGATAAAGAAGATGTGGTTGGAAGATAGATAGGTAGATATGGATACAGATATAGGAATACTACTCAGCCACGAAAAAGAATGAAATAATGCCATTTGCAACAATATGGATGGACCTAGAGGTTATCATGCTAAGTGAAGTAAGTCAGACAAAGACAAATACCATATGATGTCATTTATATGTGGAACCTAAAATATGACACAAATGAACTTATCTATGAAACAGAAACAGACCCACAGACATAGAGTAGACTGCTGGTCGCCAAGGGGGAGGTGGGCGAGAGAAGAACGGATTGGGAGCTTGGGATTAGCAGATGCAGACTATTATATGTATGTATAACTGAATCACTTTGCTGTACACCAGAAACTAACACAACAATGTAAATCAACGAAGCTTCAATAAAATAAATTAAAAAAAAAAAAAAGAAATGGTGAAAAGAGCAGCAGGCCCTTCTTAAGGTTTGGTGAACCATCTGGAAAGCCTGAAGGTGATAAAATTGAACAGATGGAGGCCTGAAGGTGTCCTTAGTCGGTATGACACCAGGTAAGGCAGGAGGGAGTGGGGATCCGAGTTATGGTTCTGGCCCCCAGAGCTAGGAGACTTCATAGATGCCTCTCAAGCTCTCTCTCCCCACTTTCACATCTAAAATGGAGAAAATATCCCTTGTCCTTATATAACTCCTGTCAGATTAAAAAAAAGAGGTGACTCTTAAGAAGGTACCTACAGATGTTAAAGATAATATTCCAAGGAAGACCCTTATTTGCTGCCAGGGTCCAGAGGGAAAAGTTGAGTTGCCTGGATTATATATGACAATCGCCCACAAGGGCCATCCCTTTGCCCAGCTGCTTGAAGGGCACAACCGACGCAGCAGCCCGTCATAAGCCTCTTCTCAACCCCAGGTGCCAGCCCCACTGGGTGCTCGCAGAAAGCTGGAGGTCCTCTGTTTCATTCAGCCTCAGCAACAGCTATCAGGGCAATGCCGACATGCCTCGTCTCCCTGTTTGCTCACTCATTCATTTGTTCATTCAATAAAATACTTGCTAAGATGCAGAAAAGCATAAGGGTTTGGAGCTCGAACTGCTAGGGTTTGAATCTCAGCCTCTCCATCTAGCAGCTGAATGCTCTTGACTAGCTCCGTAATTTTTCTTTGCCTCAGTTTCCTCAACTGTAAAATGAAGAATACATCAACTGCCACCTCACAGAGCTGTCGAGGGGATTAAATTAATTATAATGTGTAAAGTGCTCAGAAAAGT